CCTCATTCTTCTAACACTCCAGTCTTAACAAGTACTAATCTACTTTGTTTTTTGTTGTTGTTGTTTCGTTATTTATTTTTGCCAGTTCTGGGTATTGAACTCAGGGCCTGGGGACGGTCCTTGAGCTTTTTTATTTTTATTTTTGTGCTCAAGGCTAGCACTCTACCACTTGAGCCACAGTACCACTTCTGGCCTTTTCTGTTTATGTGGTATTGAGGAAGTGAATCCAGGGCTTTATGCATGCTAGGCAAGCACTCCATCACTAAGCCACGTTCCCAGCCACTAATCTGCTTTGTCTCTATACTTGCCAATTTTTGATATTTTAGATTAGTCACAGCCGATGCTCTTATCACTTGAGCCACATCTTCATTTTGTATAAATAGAATCTTATACACTTGTGTCTGGCCTCTCACAGAGCAATTGATGAACAATTGGGTTTTTTATTTTTTGGCCATTGTGAGTGGTAATCTAAGAGCATTTGTGTACAGGTTTTTTTTTGGGGGGGGGGGTCTGGTCATGGGGCCTGAACTCTGGGCCTGGGCGCTGTCCCTCAGCTCTTCAGCTCAAGGCTAGAGCTCTACCACTTGAGCCACAGCGCCACTTCTGGCTTTTTTCTTTTTGCTTATGTGGTGCTGAGGAATCGAACCCAGGGCCTCAGGCATGCAAGGCAAGCACTCTACCACTGAGCCACCTTCCCAGCCCTTGTGTACGGGTTTCGTTTTTTGTTTTTGTACTGATACTGGGTCTTGAACTCAGGGTCTAAATGCTGTCCCTAAGTTTTTGTGCTCAGGGCTAGCACTCTACCACTCAAGTCACAACACCACTTCCAGCTTTTTGGTGGTTAGGTGGAGATAAGAGTCTCGTGTGGCTTTGAACCCTATCTTCAGATCTTAGCCTTCTGAGTAGCTAGAATTACAGGCATGGAGCCACCAGTGCCTGGTTATGTACAGGTTTTTTGTGAGCATACTGTTTTTTGTATGCACATACATACATATAGACTTGCTAGTTTATATTGTAATTGTGCTTAAAGGGACAGACTTGGACAGACTTTCTTTCTTTCTTTGATTTCAATACTAGGGAATGAACCCAGGATCTTACAAGTTTTGTACATGCTCGGCAAGTGCTCTATTACTGAGCCATACCCCTTACTCCTGCCCAAGAGGACAGTTTTGTGTTATCCTCCTAGCAAAGAAGCTGTAAGAAAAGGTGAGATCAAGAAAATGAAGTCTGAGGTGGGGAGGAGTGAAAAGTTAAGAATTGAGAACACCTGTTTCTCAGCATTGGGCATGGAAAGAAGAGCTCTTTGACACAATGTATCAAGAGACCCAAGAAATCCATCCTCAAATTTGGTCTTATGTTTTGTTGTTAGACCAGACCTAATTAGGTAACTCAGGCTGGCATAGCATTTGGGTCTTAACTGCCTCTTCCGCTTTCTACATCAACAGGCCACTATGCCCTGCTTTTCTTTGCAATTTTTTTTTAATTGCCAGTCCTGGGACTTGAACTCAGGGCCTGGGCGCTATCCTTAAGCTTCTTTTGCTGAAGGGTGGCATTCTACCACTTGAGCCACAGCGCCACTTCTGGTCTTTTCTTTCTTTTTTCTTTGTTTTTGTCGGTTGGGTGGCTTGGGCACTGTCCCTCAACTCTTCAGTTCAAGGCTAGCGCTCTACCACTTGAGCCACAGTGCCACTCCCGACTTTTTCTGCATATGTGGTGCTGAGGAATTGGACCCAGGGCCTCATGCATGCAAGGCAAGCACTCTATCATTGAGCCACCTTCCCAGCCCCACTTCTGGCCTTTTCTGTTTATGCAGTAGTGAGGAATCGAACCAATGGTTTCATGCATGCTAGGCAAGTGCTCTATCACTAAGCCACATTCCCAGCACTGCCAATATTTTTTGACTCAGTTTTTTTTTCCTCAGCTATTGCATGTTTTATAGATTTCATAGATAAGCAGTAGTCTGATTTCCTATAACTTATATTATTTAAATGTATAGTACAGGCTGCTGGTAGTTCATACCTGCAATCCTAGCTATTTGGGAGGCTGAGATTACATTTAGAAGCCAGTTTGGGTAAGAAAGTCCATGAGACTATTACTTCCAATTAACCACCAGAAAACTAGAAATGGAGCTGTGGCTTAAAGTGTTAGCAAGCTAGGAGCTGGGAAGGTGGCTCAATGGTAGAGTGCTTGCCTTGCATTCATGAGGCCCTGGGTTCAATTACTCAGCACCACATAAGCAGGAAAAGCCGGAAGTGGTGCTGTGGATCAAGCGCTAGAGCGCTATCCTTGAGGTGAAGAGCTGAGGGACAGTGCCCAGGCCTAGAGTTCAGGCCCCACAACCAGAAGAAGAAGAAAAAAGTGTTAGCATGTTAGCCTTCAGTACAATATCTCAGAGACAGTAGAGACAGTGCCCAGGCTCTTAGTTCAAGCCCCACAACAGACCAAAAAATAAATAAATTAATGGTGCAGGAGTGGGGGCATGGCTCAAGTTTTAAAACATGAGGCCCTGAATTTCATAATTACCAAGACCACAAAAAATGCAAGTGCGTGCACGTGCACACAACCCCACACACAGTGCAGCTTTACCCTATTATATTTGGAATGAGTTAATTAAAATTTCTCTGCCCTTGTTTGGGATTAAGAAAATCATCAACATGTAAGCATCTTTTTGTTAATCAGTTTTTGGTTTGGCTGAGTCAAAGTAAATTCCTTTTTTTTTTTTTTTTTTGATCGGTCATGGGGCTTGAGCCACAGTACCACTTCTGGTTTTCTAGTGGTTTATTGGAGATAAGAGTCTCACAGAGTTTCCTTCCCGGGCTGGCTTTGAACGCAATCTTAAAATCTCAGCCTCCTAAGTAGCTAGGATTACAGGCGTGAACCACCAGTGTCTGGCGAATTCGTTTTCTTTTTCTTTTTTTTTTGTGACCAGTGCTGTGGCTTGAACTCAAGTCCTGGGCACTGTCCCTAAACTTCTTTTTGTTTAAGGCTAGCACTCTACCACTTGAACCACAGTGCCACTTCCAGCCTTTTCTGTTTATGTTTTACCGAGGAATCAAACCCAGGTCTTCATGCATACTAGCCAAGCACTCTACTACTAAGCCACATTCCCAGCCCTGAGTGTGTGTATTTTGACTAGTTTGGTAATATAGTATTATACTGAGAGACAAACAGTTGAGCAAATACCTTCTGTACTACAGTAAAATCCCTCTGGACCTCTTCCTCTGTAGTATTTAAGGCAAGTCTCTTTGAACCTCCCCAGGTGCAATTTCATGATCTATAACAGGAAGGTGCTAACTGCCCTACATAGCTCAAGGTTATTCTGTGCATTAAAATGGTGCCTGTGAAAGCACTTGGGAAATCTCAGTATGCTAGGTAACAAACAGGAAGGATTCAGCTAAAGAGCTGGATTAGTAGTATCTTGTTCTAGCTTGGGTAGATAAATCTCAGGTAGTTGATGAGAATAAAGGGATATAATTCCATTTTCTTCAAAGATGAAAAACAGCCAGGTACCAGTGGCTCCCACCTGTTATCCTACCTACTCTTTTTTTTTTTTTTGGGTCCGGTCATGTGGCCTGACTCTGGGCCTGGGCACTGTCCCTCAGCTCTTCAGTTCAAGGCAAGCACTCTACCATTTGAGCCACAGTGCCACTTCCAGCTTTTTTTTTTTTCCGGCTTACGTGGTGCTGAGGAATCAAACCCAGGGCCTCATGCATGCAAGGCAAGCGCTCTACCACTGAACCACCTTCCCAGCCCCCTACCTACTCTTTTTTTCCCTTTTTTTGTCAGTCGTGGGGCCTGAACTCTGAGCCTGGGCGCTGTCCCTCAGCTCTCCAGCTTAAGGCTAGTGCTCTACCACTTGAGCCACAGTGCCACTTCCGGCTTTTTCAGTGTATGTGGTGCTGAGAAATCGAACCCAGGGCCTCATGCATGCAAGGCAAGCACTCTACCAGGGAGCTACCTTCCCAGCCCCTATCTACCTACTCTTGAGACTGAGATCTAAGGCTCACAGTTCAAAGCCAAGCTAACCCTGCCAGGAAAGTCCATGAGACTCTTTATCTTCAATTAACTGCCCCCAAAAGCCAAAAGTAGAACTGTGGCTCATGTGGTAAAGTACTAGTCTTGAGCAAAAAACTTCAGGAATAGTGCCTGTGTCCTGAGTTGAAGCCATAGAACCAGTACCAAAAAAAAGAGGAAAGATAAATTGTCATTCTTCAGGGTCCCTCCATCTATTTTCATTCAATGAATATTTCCTGAGTAAACTAGATACCAAATACCTATCCTGGGCTATGGGGAACAAAGCAGAAAACTGTGTTTATTTTCTAGTGTTCGTCAGATCTGTCCTTGATGCATATAGATCTTACTTTCATCTGCTTGCTGGTTCTTCAGATTTAAATTGAGAATTTTTTTCAGAAGGCAGTATCAAATTTAAGATTAGGCATATTCTAATTAAAGGTAAAATAGGTATTTTTCCACAAATTCATAAACAGAACTTTTTGATGCACATAACCTGGCATTTGAAGTCAAATTTATTTTCTTAATTTTAGCCATTGTAAATTGAGACAGCTTTCTTCTACCTTGTCAAGATTTTGTGTTTTTTTTTTTTATTGTGAAAATACTGTACAGAGGGGTTACAATTACATGGGCAAGATAATGAGTACATTTCTTTTCTTTTCTTTTTTGCTGGTCGTGGGACCTGAACTCTGGGCCTGGGCGCTGTCCCTCAACTCTTCAGCTCAAGGCCAGCACCCTACCACTTGAGCCACAGCACCATTTCCAGCTTTTCTGCTTATGTGGTGCTAAGGAATTGAACCCAGGGCCTCATGCATGCAAGGCAAGCACTCTACCACTGAGTCACCTTCCCAACCCCATGAGTACATTTCTTATCAATCATTGTAGTCTTCTCTTTTGTTTCCCCTTCCCATCCCTTCCCATCCTCCCCCCTCCCACCCCCTCACCTGTCAAGGTTTTAAACTTGTATCCCTTCCTTTGATTTGTGTCAGGATGAACATTTGATATAAAAGACTTGACTTCATAATCTCCGTCTGCCCTAATGCTGTCATCTGGAATAGAGACTCAGCGGGTTCCACTTGATTCCTCCATGTCTGCTGTGGTACAGGAATTTTACTCTGAACTTCCCGTAAGTGTTTCCACAGAGCTTCTTGCTGAGCCAAGTGTGATTCCAGACATAAAAGCTGGAGCCTCAAGCTTTCTTATAAGTCAGAGTAGGGTATTGTCCCTGGAGCTATAGGGGACCCATGCAAAAAGTTCTTGTGAGGAAACCACTGATAGTTTGGATGATGAGGGCAGTCCTGGGTGGTGTAGGCCAATGAACTCCACAGCAAGAGACTATGGCTTCCAAGATCTTTTTTTTTGGTCAGTCGTGGGGCCTGAACTCTGGGCCTGGGCGCTGTCCCTCAGCTCTTCAGCTCAAGGCTAATGTTTTACCACTGGAGCCACAGTGCCACTTCTGGCTTTTTTCTGCTTTTGTGTGGTGCTGAAGAATTGAACCCAGGGCCTCATACATGCAAGGCAAGCACTCTACCTGAGCCACCTTCCCAGCCCCGCTTCTAGGATCTTGGATAGAGAAGAGAAAGCCAAAAGCGTGGAGCATGGTCCTCAGAGATCAAGGGGACCAGGTAGAAGTTATCAGAGACCCCTGTGAGGGAGCACAGGAAGACTCATGCCAACATTCCCCAACTGCTGAAGAAAAGGTCGGCCCAAGGCAGCTAAGAGATGAGAGCTTGATCCAGATGAGTTCAGTATGGATGGCCACCGGGCAGACAAAACATGTAGCCTTACGGGTGGTTTATGACTTATTCTTTTTTTTTTTTTGGCGGTTGTGGGGCTTGAACTCTGGGCCTGGGCACTGTCCCTCAGCTCTTCAGCTCAAGGTGAGCGCTCTACCACTTGAGCTACAGCACCACTTCCGGTTTTCTAGTGGTTTATTGGAGATAGGAGTCTCACGGTCTCTCCTGCCCAGGCTGGCTTTGAACCGCGATCCTCAGAACTCAGCCTCCTGAGTAGCTAGGATTACAGGCATGAGCCACCGGCGCCCGGCATGACTTATTCTTAATACATTTCCAAACCTTTTTTTTTTTTTTTTGCCAGTCATGGAGCTTGAACTCTGGGCCTGTGTGCTGTCCCAGCTCAAGGCTAGTGGTAGTGCCACTTCTGGTTTTCTGGTGGCTTATTGGAGCTAAGAGTCTCATGGATTTTCCTGCCTGGGCTGGCTTTGAACTGTGTTTCTCAGATCTCAGCTTCCTGAGTAGCTAGGATTACAGGCGTAAACCACTGGCACCGGCTGTCCATTTCCTGAAGTTCATATCAAGAAATAATAATATGATCAGAGAGGCATATAGGCATATTATGCCCTTGTGTTCCTCCCCTAGCGAGTATCCTTCTTTGAAATCACCAAAATATTGTTTCGTTTTTTTTTTAACTGTGAAAATACTGTACAAGGGGTTACAATTACATGAGCAAGGTAATTAGTATATTTCTTCTCAAGCATTGTTGCCTCCTCCTTTGTTTCCCCTTACCATCCCTTTTTTTGTTGTTGTTGTTGCCAGTCCTGGGTTTGAACTCAGGGCCTGGGCACTGTTCCTGAGCTGCTTTTGCTCAAGGTTAACACTCCACAATTTAAGCCACAGCACCACTTCTGGCTTTTTCTGTGTATATGAATTGAACCCAGGGCTTCATGCATGCTAGGCAAGCACTGTACCATTAAGCCACCTTCCCAGCTGTAAACATCATTTTTTAATATTAACATATTTTGACAATCTTTTTTAAAATTTTATTTATTGTAAAAATAGTGTACAGAAGGGTTACAGTTACATGAATAAGGTAATGAATACATTTCCTATTGAGTGTTGTTACCTCCTCCTTTGTTTATTCCCATTTTGATGATCTTAAAAGCATTTGTGTTACATTGGATATTTAAAGAGAGGAAGTGATTTTATCTAGTTTTTTCTTTCTTTCTTTTTCTTTTTTACCGGTCCTGGGGTTCCAAAGCTGGGCTGGGCACTGTCCCTTTTTGCTCACAGCTAGCACTCCACCACTTGAGCCACAGTGCCATTTCTGGCTTTTTCTGTGATTAATTGGAGTTGAGTCTCAGAGACTTTCCTTGCCTGGGTGGCTTCGAACCGGGATCCTTAGATCTTAGCCTCCTAAGTAGCTTTATAGGATTATAGACATGAATCACTGGTACTCAGCATCAAATTCATATATTTTGACTCTTCATGTTTAGTGAAACAGTCTAAACTCTAAATTCATTTTAATCATGTTTTAGTACACAGTTCTAGTTACATTACATCATGTGACAATCACCCATCTCCAGACTGAAACTTTACCTACTAAGTAATAACTTCTCCCTCCCCTCTCCATGTCCCTAACAACTGCCATTCTACTTTCTGCCTGGGAATTTGATTCTAGCTAGCTCATATAAATGGACTCATACAGTATTTGTGCTTTTGTAACTGATCATAATAGTTTTTAAATCTTCTTTAAAAAAATAAAATACTCGGGCTGGGAAGGTGGCTCCGTAATAGAGTGCTTGCTATGCATGCATGAGGCCCTGGGTTCAATTCCTCAGCACCACATAAGCAGAAAAAGCCAGAAGTGGTGCTGTGGCTCAAGTGATAGAGCAGTAGCTTTGAGCAGAAGTGCTGAGGGCCAGCACCCAGGCCCAGAATTCAGGCCTCACAACCGACAAAAATAAAAATAAAATACTTCTGGCTGGGGTAGCATACTTAACGCTCTGAGCTCCATACCCCATATCACAAAAAAGTATATTAACTTTAAAAAGTAAACCAACAAAAATATTTTTTCCTACTTTATAATGTGTCAAGAGGTTTTAAAAAAATGTATGATTAGTAGTTTTTATCTTATTGGCAAGGGATAGAGCTGAAAAATATCTGAGAACAGGTGCAGTGGGAGAGACAGCTGCAAGAGCCAAACTGAATTGTGAAAGAACACATTCAATCCTCAGCCTCGTTCTTGTAGGAGAAAAGTTGGAGAAGATGGTGTATGCATGCGAAATGTCCTTAGTCAGGATGTGGAGAAGAATTGTGCACCACAGAGATGATGTGTGATGTCATCCTGCACTGACATTGCAAATCCCTTCTTTTAAATGTCATTATACATGGTGAATTTATTTCAAAACACATTTTGAAATATTTTGCACATAAAATGTATAGAAAGTAATATAAAGCCTATGTACATTTGATTTCCTTTTTTTTGCGGGGGGGAGGGGGGGAGGGGTCGGTTGTGAGACGTGTACTTTGCATGGACACTGTCCCTGAGCTCTTCACCTCAAGGCTAGTACTCTGGCTGGGCGCTGGTGGCTCACGCTTACAATCCTAGCTACTCAGGAGGTTGAGATCTGAGGATCATGGTTCAAAGCCAGCCCGGGCAGGAAAGGCCAATTTTTTTTTAAAAAGGCTAGCACTCTACCATTTTAGCTACAGCACCCACTTCCAGCTTTTTATGCTTATGTGGTGCTGAGGAATTGAACCCAGGGCCTAATGCATGCAGGGCAAGCATTCTACCACTGAGACACCTTCCCAGCCCAAAGCCTATGTACATTTGAAAGTCTGGACATTCCACTTGGCTGTCATATCTTAGCATCTTGCATATTTAAATAAGAGCAGTTTTAAATTTTGATTACTTCTTTTTTCTTTTTGTTTTTCTTTTTTTTGTCAGTCATGGGGCTTGAACTCTGGACTCTTTAGCTCAAGGTGAGCACTCTTATCACTTGAACCACAGTGCCACTTCTGGTTTTCTGAGTGGTTTATTGTAGATAAGAGTTTCACAGACTTTCCTGCCCAAGCTGGCTTTGAACCATGATTCTCAAATCTCAGCCTCCTGAGTGTCTAGGATTATAGACAGGCATGAGCCACCAGCACCTGGCCCAGCCAGTATTTCTCATATAGCTTATATAGTACAATTACTATAGCAATTACTTCATTTAATATTGAAAAGGGATCTTTTTGAACATGTGTCTTACATATTTATTCCTGATAGATCTTTTGGAAAATATTATAATGATGATCAGATGTGGAGATTTTAACCGCACTTAGATGGTAGAGAGAAATGTTTTGGAGCTGGGCGCTGGTGGCTCACGCCTGTAATCCTAGCTACTCAGGAGGCTGAGATCTGAGGATCACGGTTCAAAGCCAGCTCGGGCAGGAGAGACGACTCCTATCTCCAATAAACCACCAGAACACCGGAAGTGGCGCTGTAGCTCTAGTGGTAGAGCGCTCGCCTTGAGCTGAAGAGCTGAGGGACAGTGCCCAGGCCCAGAGTTCAAGCCCCACGACCGACAAAAAAAAAAAAAAAGAAAAGAAATGTTTTGGAAATTTTATTTATTTATTTTTTGGGTCCAGTGGTGAGGCCTGAACTTTGGGCCTGGATGCTGTCCCTCAGTTCTTCAGCTCAAGGCTAGCGCTCTACCACGTGAGCCACAGCGCCACTTCTGGCTTTTTTCTTTTTGCTTATGTGGTGCTGAGGATTCGAACCCAGGGCCTCATGCATGCAAGGCAAGCGCTCTACCATTGAGCCACCTTCCCAGCCCTGTTTCAGAAATTTTGACATCTTAGAATCTTGAAAGCTAAAGCCAGGTGCGGTCAGCTCAAGTCTAACGCTCACTTGAGCTACTGCACCACTTCCAAATCTTAGCTACTTGGAAGGGTATTCCATGCCAGCCTGGGCAGCAAAGTCTTATCTCCAATTAACCACCAAAAAACCAGAGGTGCACTGTGACTCAATGTGATAGAGTGATAGCCTTGAATGAAAAAGCTCAGGGACAGCATCTAGGTTCTGAGTTCAAGCCTCATAACTGCTTCCCCCACCCCCACTCCCAATAAAAACACCTAATAAAATATTTTAGGAGCAGGATGCTGATGGCTCATGCCTGTAATCCTAGTTAAGAGGCTGAGATCTGAGGATTGCAGTTCAAAGCCAGCCTGGGCAGGAAAGGCTGAGAGACTCTTATCTCCAATAAACCACCAGAAAACCGGAAGTGGTGCTGTAGCCCAAGTGGTAGAGCGCTATCCTTGAGCTAAAGAGCTGAGGGACAGCGCCCAGGCCTAGAGTTCAAGCCCCATGACCCCCCCCAAAAATATTAGGAAAAATATTGTGCTGATCCTTGACGATAGATAGATAGATAGAGAGATAGAGAGATAGATAGATATTGCTGTTCTTTAGTTTAGATGGTGGCTAGTCCTGGGGTTTGGCTCCAGGCCTCACTGCTATCCCTGAGCTTTTTTGCTCAAGACTAGCACTCCTTTTGAGCCACAGTTCCATTTCTGGCTTTTTGGAGGTTAATTGGATAAAAGAGTTTGCAGACTTTACTGCCCAGGCTGGCTTTGAACTGTGATTTTGAGATCTCAGCCTCTTCAATAGCTAGCATTGCAGGCATGAGCACCAGTGCACAGCTAGAAATTGTGTTTTAGGTTTCATGTATTTGTTATGTGATTGGCTAACTTTGAACTGGGTTAGAAGAGTCTGAAGACTGTTCTACACACGTCCTTTGCGTGCAAGTAGGCTGTTCCGGTTCCTTCTCTGCACTCATTCCTCTGCAGAGCTCCCTCCTGGTTGTGAGGTCACTGCTGTGGTGGTGTTAGCTTACATCTCAGCTACATGTTGTTTTCAGTACATTCAATTATTGATTGTCTTTGAGACCTCAAGCCTTCTTGTAGTCTCCAGCCCTCTTTTTGTTGTAATGCCAATGGAGAAACAGAAGCCACATTTTGAGAGATGGAATTGGGAATCAATCTTGATATGATGGAAAATTAGAGATGAACTATAGTATTTGACTTGAACTGTATAAGGTGGACAAAGAATGAATTTAATGATATGATGGGGAATTACAAATGAACTGTATTATTTGACTTAAACTGTGAAGTAAATGATGAATGGATCTAAAATATGAATGTAACTAAGCTTCCTGTGGATAAGACTTTCTTTTTTTTTTTTTTTTTTTGCTGGTCGTGGGGCCTGAACTCTGGGCCTGGGCACTGTCCTTCAGCTCAAGGCTAGCGCTCTACCACTTGAGCCACAGTGCCACTTCCAGCTTTTTCTGCTTATGTGCTGAGGAATCGAACCCAGGGCCTCATGCATGCAAGGCAAGCACTCTACCACAGAGCCACCTTCCCAGCCCTGGATAAGACTTTCTTGGTACCTAATTAGTTAGCTTTTGTTACCCTACTACTGTCCTTTCCTGAACCATGTGTTCCCCAACCAAGCTGAGCCATTAACATCCTTTGTTCTATTCCTTAAACTTCTCAGGGAATCCCAGGCACTCCCAGCTCTGACTGGAAGCCAATGATATCCTTGGGTGGGAAGCTCTTACTTAAAACTGGCATGGTCCTTGGTTGGAATCTGAAAAACAGCTTTATGACGCATGATTATACCTCCCTTTCTCCTCCCCTTCCCCTGCCCTTGCCAAGTAATGTTTAAAAGGCCAAGAGCCAGGCACCTGTGGCTCACGCATGTAATCCCAGCATGTAATCCCAGCTACTCAGGAGGCTGAGATCTGAGGATCGCTGTTCCAAGCCAGCCCTAGTTTGGACAGACTTTTTCTGAGTACTTTATTGGCCATAAGAGTCTGCATGGCGGACTATTGTCTCAAAAACCACCAGCCCAGCACAGAGTTTGCACCAGGCTTTTAGAGACAAAAACCACATGCTTAGGTAGAGCCCCAACATAAAAACACAGGAGCAGCTTCCCTGTGACATATCCTCTAAAATGGAGAGCTCTCTACTCTACCAACTGAGCTAGGCATCTGCCATTCAAAGGATGACTTGTCTCATCTCTAGGCCTCTAGCTGGGTGGATAGCCCCATCACCTGTTTAGGGGCTAGGATGGCTGTGAGAACCAGTGAATCACTAAGACCCAGTCTTTCCCTTACTTTATTGTGAGGAATCGCTTGCTTCTTCTTAATTTACAACCTTTCAAGATAATTCTGCAAGGTAGAGGTCAAGTGGAATACCTCACTCTTAACTGTTTTTTTCCCCTTCTTGGTTAGGAAGCAGTGGGCTTGACATTCATCAGGGGTGTTTTGGGTTCTCCTGCTATGCGCATCATTGTGAGCAGTATATGGGGACAGCACTAAAATTCCAGTAGCCCTTCACAAAGGGCACAAAATCACAGGAGACTCCCCCAATTGTCACTAAGTTTAGCCCAGAAAGCTTGTGGTGAGTAATCTTTCCTGACAGTGTATACCAGAATTTGTTGGTGACGGGCCTTATTGGCTTCTCTCACAGAAATGGCTGACACATGTGATAATACATGTCTATGATCTTGTGAATGAGAGACACTTTTTTTGGTGGTGGTGTAGAACTTGAGCTCTGGGCTTTGGTGTTGTCCCTCAGCTCTTTTTGCTCAAGGCTAGCACTCTACTTTGAGCCCTGTCTCCACTTCTGGTTTGGGAGTGGTTAATTGGAGGCCAGAGTCTGGTGGACTTTCCTGCCTGGGCTAGCTTTGAACCACAATCCTCAGATATGACTCTTGAGTAGCTAGGATTGCAGGTGTGAGCCACTAGCACCCGGCTTATGATAGACACTTTGGTTCTTGAAACACACTATTTGCTAGTCTTTTGGGGAGGTGTGTGTGTGTGTGTGTGTGTGTGTGTGTGTGTGTGTGTGTGTGTGTGTGTGTGTGTGTGTGTGTGTGTGTGTGTGTGGGATTTCTGGAATGTGCCAATGAACCTGGTGCTGTGTGTGTGCGTGGGCGCGCGTGTGTGTGCGTGCACACAGGCTTATTAATCCATACCTTCACAGCTTTTTGTCATCTAACTGGGTTTATCTGCTTGGGCTGGCTTTGAACTGTGCTCTTCAGATCTGAATAAATAGGATTAAAGGTCAGCTTTAAAAAAAAATTAATTTGAGGGGCTGGGAAGGTGGCTCAGTGGTAGAGTGCTTGCCTTGCATCCATGAAGCCCTGGGTTCAATTCCTCAGCACCACATAAGCAGAAAAACCGGAAGTGGCACTGTGGTTCAAGTGGTAGAGCCCTAGCCTTGAGCTGAAGAGCTGAGGAATAGTGCCCAGGCCCAGAGTTCAGACCCCATGACCGACAAAAGACCAAAAAAAAAAGTTAATTTGAGAGTATATTCACAGAGATGATGCCTAAATTCTTCAATATGTATTTCCTAGCAAAGAAAGACTTTCTATTTCATGACCATAATATACACTATAAAGCACATATTACATGTTGAGTGTCTGGTACTATAAACACAGTGTACATGGTACCATATGGTTAGCTAGAGATTCATCTGATTTGGGGATTTTTTTTTCCTTAGAAATAAAAATTAACACTACAGGGCTGGGAAGGTGGCTCAGCAGTAAAGTGCTTGCCTTGCATGCATGAGGCCTGGGTTCGATTCCTCAACATAAGCAAAAAAAGCTGGAAAGTGGCTCTGTGGCTCAAGTGGTAGAGCGCCAGCCTGGAGATGAAGTGCTGAGGGACAGCGCCCAGGCGCCCAGTTCAGGCACCATGACTGACCGCCCCCCCAAAAAAAAAATTAACACTACAATGGCTTGTTTCATTAGCAGAAGGCATTTTTAGGGTTGATTTGCATTTACAAGTAAACATTTTAACTCTCCTATCTAGACTTTGACAAGCTTGACTTTTCAAGATCAAATTCTGGAGAAGTTTTTTGTTTGATTGTACTTACTTAAATTTGATGTTTCCTTCAGTTCTCAATCCTTGTGAGTACTAGCAAATTTCCTAGGGTCATAAAGAAGTTTCTTAAGAAATGAACTCAGGTATCTGAATCCTCCCTTGACTGCTGGTTTTCTTATTGTAGGAGGCCCTCCTGGTACAGTCCAGAGAACTTTTACACGAGGACCTCCCTGAAGGTTTTCTAAGGAACAAAGGTATTTCTCTAAGTTGTTTCCCCCCACCCACTACTGCATATCATTTTAATTCACAAATCCCATTTTATAGTTAGAATATAATGGTTATAGTTACGTGTTTTACTAGATAGACTTAATTATAGAAATTTGTTATATTACCTGTGGGTATACTGGGACACAACTATTATCAGATCTTGTGTTAGTGGATGATAGTTTAGTTTGCTCTTTTCCCATAAGTATTCTTTATTAACAGTGTGTTGAGCCAGGTGCCAGTGGCTCTTTCCTGTAATCCTAGATACTCAGGAGGCTGATATCTAAGGATTGCAGTTCAAAGCCAGCTGCAGCAGGAAAATCCATGAGACTCTTATCTCTAATTGAGCACCAGAAATCTGTGACACTGTGGCTTAGATTGGTAGAGCATTAGCCTTGAGCAAAAGAGCTCAGGGATAGCAACTAGGCCCTAGTTCAGGCCCCACAACTGACAAAACCCAAAAACAGTGTGTTGAACCCTTAATGCTCATGTGAGATCTTAGTTTTGGGGGTGACGGGCAGTCCCAGAGCTTGACCACTGAGTCTGAGCACTGACCCTGAACTTTTATTCTCAGTGCTAGTGTTCTACCACTTGAACTACAGCTCCACTTAAGCTTTTTTGTTTTTGTTGTTGTTGTCAGTTGTGAAGCTTGAATTCAGGGCCTGCCCGCTGGTTCCTGAGTTCTTTTTGCTCAAGACTAGCACTCTACCACTTTGAGCCATGGTGCCACTTGCGGTTTTGTTCAGTTGTGGGGCTTGAACGCTGGTCCTGGGCGCTGTCCCTGAGCTCTTCAGCTCAAGGCTAGTACTCTGCCACTTGAACCACAGCACCACTTCCAGTTTTCTGGGGTTAATTGGAGATAAGAGTCTCACAGACTTTCCTGCGTGGGCTGGCTTTGAAGTGTGATCCTCAGATCTCAGCCTCCTGAGTAGCTAGGATTACTGGCACCCAGTAAGACTTTTTTTAAATCTGCAGCAAAAAGCCAGAACTGAAGACATGGCTAAAGTTATAGCGAGCCAGATCAGAGGAAAAGTAGATTGAGATTGAGAGACTCTTGAGTTCAAGGCCTGCTACCAGCACCAAAAAAAAAAAAAAAGGAAAGAATAGGGCTGGGAAGGTGGCTCAGTGGTAGAGTGCTTGCCTTGCATGCATGAGGCCCTGGGCTCGATTCCTCAGCACCATATAAGCAAAAAGAAAAAAAAGCTGGAGGTGGCGCTGTGGCTCAAGTGGTAGAGAACCAGCCTTGAGCTGAAGAGCTGAGGAACAGTGCCCAGGCCCAGAGTTCAGGCTCCAGGACCGGACCCAAAAAAAAAAAAAATACATTGTTTCCATAGACCTTTCACTCAGCTTTAATAATTTTAGTTCAACCTTACAGAAAGGCAGCTTTTGCAGGTAATGGAATTCAAGACTGTTCACCTTACAGATAAGTCTCAGATATAGTTGTATGTATAATTGCTTTTTTCAAAGAATGGTTTTATCAGTGACATATGTAAGTAGTCATCTAATAATGTATGCTGTTGTATCATGAATCTATGATTTCACATAAAAACTTCTTTTTTTTGGGGGGGGGTCCGGTCGTGGGGCCTGAACTCTGGGCCTGGACGCTGTCCCTCAGCTCTTCAGCTCAAGGCTACTGCTCTACCACTTGAGCCACAGCGCCACTTCCGGCTTTTTTCTTTTTTGCTTATGTGGTGCTGAGGAATCGAACTCATGCATGCAAGGCAAGTGCTCTACCGCTGAACCATCTTCCCAGCCCGACATAAAAACTTGTTAAAACAAAAAAACTCCACTTCTTTTTGTTTTCTGTCTGTCATAGAGCTTGAACTCCAGGCCTCTTATATGCTCTTTCTGAGCTTTTTAGCCTAAGCCTAGCACTCTACTACTCTGAGCCATGGTGCCACTTCTGGTTTTCTGGTGATTAAACAGAAATGAGTCTCATGGACTTGCCTGCATAGGCTGGTTTTGATCCCTGATCCTCAGATCTCAGCCTTCTGAGTGGCTAAGATTACAGGCATGAGCCACTGGTACTTGCCTCATACAAAAACTTTTTTTTCCATTTTGTAATTATCTTTTTGAGTTTTTTTTGTTATTATTGTTGCCTTTGGATACATGATAAAATTCACAATGATTGCATGCTTATTTGGATTTATTTTTCTTGTGTAGAAGGAAATGTACAGATTACAGCTGAAACTCAGCCTGAGTCCACGGAAGACATACAAGGTATAAAGGTGAATGGGACTAAGATGGATAAGAATGACCATGTGAGTAATGTTCTCTCAGCTGGGTGCAGTAAATACCAAGAAGTAGACAAAATCATGACCAGTGGTGAAGTTTCAGAAACCAGAACTTTAGTTTCCCTAAAGCCTTTAAACTTTGTGGACCCTGGATTGGCAGAAGTAACTGCTAATGAAAAAGAATGTGGAGAATTAAAAACTTTTCCATCTTGGTTGTCATTATTACCAGGGAATAGTGCCATTTCCAACACTGACAATGGAGAGAAAGAGCTGTGTAAATTAAACCCTGTCTGTGAAGCAGATGACAATCGCCAACAGACTCCTGGCCTCCATAATGAAAAACACAGTTCTGCACCTAATACTTCCACAGCTATGGGAAATAGAGATGCTATAAAACCCTTGGAAGAAAGTTCTGAAATTCCACATTTCATACCACTTTTGTCTGTTCCAGGATGCAGAATAGCATCATTAGAAAAATGTGATTTTGAAAGCAACAGTTTGCTGAAAGGATCTGCTAAAAAGACAGATAGTTCCTTTTTTAATGAGGACGATCAAAGCAAAAACTTGGCTTGTATAGAAGGTAAAGAAAGGCCTTTGAATCTGGGGAAAGAAAGGGAAGAAGAACCAGAAAAGAAAGCCAGTTCTGGTGGAAAAAAGACTGCTGATAGCCCAAAGGAAGATACCTACAATAACTCTTGCATTCAAGGCAGTATCCATACAGAAAGCTCTAGTTCTTTAATGCTCAATTTTCTTACTGAAGCCACAGAAATAATGTTTAAAAAGAATGATTTGAAAATCACTTTAGACTATCAGGGTAACTTGACAGACCCTGTGGACCATAGAAAAACTGTTCCTAATGTGAGCCATGTAAGTGAGCACTCGGTAGAAAGCAATTTTTTCTCTTCAGTGCAACTTAGAGAGTCAGAACAGACAACCACTATAAAGCCTAATAAGTTACGTGAAAAGATAAATAGTAAAGACTCTAATTCTTTAGTTAACATTCAGAGAAATCTGGAAGGTGAAACTCGGATAAATGAAGCAACATGTAATGATTTTTTGTCTGAAAGAAAATCTTTTGGGAGTGTTATGCCAGAAGATCAGATAAATTTTATACCTAGCAAGATATCAAAATCCAAGACAGATGCTGCTCAATTACCACTGTTTCCAGAATTTGATTACAGACCTTCAGAAAAGGCTACACGAACCTCACTTGACAGTATCTCACATTTAGATGCACCAGGCATTGCTGGTGAGTTGAGTGAACCTTCTTGTGCTAGTGAACTGGTTATGAAAGTAGATTGTGAATGTGTTTTAAATCAACAAGTGTCCCTTAATTCTCAAGACCACATGACATTGCCAACTAGTTCTCTACTAAATATAAACAGAGAGAGGCCTTTGGCAACAGGCAATGATGCCCAACAGAGCCATCACCTTTCTTTAAAGAATGGAGGGGAGGTTATTGCTGGTACCCAGACCATTCCCATGAAGACAAAACTAAAAGACATTTCTCCACAGGGTGACAAAATCTGTGGTGCCTCTTCAAATCCCACCTTTAGCACCAAATCAGGAAGCCTAGAAGGAAAAGAAAAAATGGCTGATTCAGGAACAGAAGATTTACATTTTGGGTTCCTCTCAAGTACAAAAGAAGCAGCTGGCTCTCCTCAGGAGGTCTCTGTCACCAAATGTAAAAACATTCAATCTCAGGATATCTCCATCTGTCACAATGCAAGAGAAAATGTACCAAAAGAAAATTTACTTTCTGCGTGTGCTGTTTCTAAGCCAAGCAAAATCATTCTGAGAGTGAACAACTCTAAAGCAAGAAAATATGAAAATGCATTTCAGCACAGTGATCACTACTCCCAGGGAACAGAAGACTCTGTAAAAAGTAACACCCAGAAAATGAGCTGTACAGCTAAGAAGAGTGAACTTACTAGGAGAGAAACTCAAGGCAGCCTTCCAGATGGTAAGAACCATACTAAAGTAGCACATATGTCAGATAATGGAGTGGCGAAGATAGCCACACGTACTGCCATCAGTCACATCAAACCCAATGAGAGAGGGCTACCCAGAAAAGAATCAGATATACCCAATGAAACTGTGTTTTGTAAAGACACTATCTCTGACTGTGCTACACAAGAACTAAACCAACCTGCAAACATTCCAAATCCTGAAACATTATTGAACCAGTCTCCTCCAACAGTTGAAACCCTTGGTCAGAAAGCAGATGAAGTCCTTGGCTTCCAGAGTAACCAAAACAGACTAGTTGAAAGCAGAAGTAAATGTAAATCAGTTAAGAAGGCACTAGACAGTCACCAGAGAGAGGCCACTGCAGAAGCTAACAGAGAGCTAAATTTCAGCAAGAAAGATCTGCTAGTCAGTTTGGATAGGGATAACTCACTGCTTTGTGGTAGTCCGAAGAAAGACAATTCCCAAGGAGCCTTTGAAAGTATTTCTGGTTCTGAAGAGTCCATCAATGGTATGATACACACGGTCCATGCAGACTATGGTGAAAAGCCTGCACAAGGTATGCTGGCTGTGAAAACATCTAATGTACTTGGTGATGGTGCAAGGGGAGATAGACTGGCATTCCGTGAAACCTCAAGGAATACCTCATCTGAGAGAGGAGAACTGAAGGCTGCATTTATAGGACCAGCTGACCAAGACTCAGATCTCCCAAATGTTGCTGCTTCTATAGAGCAGTCTGTAGAAATAAAATCGTGTGAAGAGAAAGTATGTAAATCTTTAGAAGACTGTGAAATTGAAGAATGCCCAGACTCTTCCATACCCCATGAGATGAAGTCTATTGCTGATCATGAACCAAATGTGAGTATATTAGATAGCATAAGCATGTCTTTAAATCATGCTTACCATAAACACCATAGTAACGTAGGATCTCTAAGAGAGACCCAGGGAATAACTGAAGGATCCAGACCAGAAGTAGATTCTGAGGCTGGCAAGGAAAAACCTTTGGGAATATCCTCAAGAGATTTGATGTCCTTTAAATGCCAAGGTGGGAACTCTGACTCTCCACAGAGCCTAGAATCCTTTAAGGCAATGACTTTGTATCTATCTTCTCAAGAAAATTCAGAAATTGATAATACCAGCAGTGAAGAAACTGACCTGAAAAATCCTTTTAAGCAAAAAGATGGTGACGTGCTTTGTGAAAATACAAAAGACTGTGCAGACCTACTCAAGATGAAGGAACAAATACCAAGGAATATAAGTCCTAACGAGAGAGACAGTGCACACACCAGGGTGGAAAAGGATGCTTGCAAAGCTTGTCGTTTTGAGAATTTCACTGATACACATGGAAAAAAACTGAAGAATGGAAAAAGAACTGAAGACCACCAGAGGGTACTCCTGGATCACTTAACTGTTGGGGAAGAATCTGAGGTGATCACTAGCAGCGAAGGCCATGGTGATAATAATTTGCCCAGGAATTCTCAGACCTACTTGCAATGCCAAGCCATTCATAATGATTCTGTAAAACAACAGAGTCAGCAGTTTTTTGACTACACATTACTGAAAGAGGAAAATCTTATACATCAAAAAGGAGCAGCACATATGATACTTGAACAGTATGCATCATCTAATAAGTTTTCAGATGAGGCTCAAGATAAGAACCACCCTCAAGCAGACAAAGATGGGTTCACCATGATAAAAGAAATCCCTCAGGCAAAGCTAACCAAGGGCAACACCACTGGACAGCTTCAAAGGTTGGGAGACCCAAAGGAGCAAAGCTTATATCATCAGCCATTGAAGAAGGACATTGAGTTATGCTCCGGTCCTTGCCTTCCTGGTGCCCCCAGGAAACAGCAAGATCCCAGCGCTGCTGGATGTGATCAAATACATGGTGCCTTTGTGAATACTTCTGGTCAAAAAAGAATGCTTCCTTTAAAGAAGCAGCCCCATCGAACGTGTAAGAGAGTTTCCTATCAGGAGCTGGTCAGTGTGGGGAGAAAAGTGGGTAAAGTCAGAAGTTCTGCCATTGGAAAGAGTTCATCTAATCCCATCCCCACCAAAGCACACAGACTTCTCAGCTCATGTGCTGTGCCTGTACCCACACAATTGGAACCTGAACCAGTACCTATCAGGAGCTTGCTTAGCCACAAACCAAAGCAGAAGGCTACTCTGTGCCATCCCTTGAGCCTGAGTTTTAGGAAGCCTACCAAAGAATCAGCCTTACTAAATAAGCTATCCATCCTTGCCTCCAAACTAGCCCCACCTGCCAAGTCCCCGATACTCAGATACCATCGGTGTTCCTCTGCACTTCTGCCAGTGGCTAAAAGTTATAAGCGCCTCAGATATAAAAGGCTCCTGGATGGATTTTCGTATAACGCAATGCAGCTGAACCCATATATGGCAGCTAATAAATGGGATCAGAGGCCTAACAGCAAACCCTTGGCACTTGATTCCCTTGAAGCCATCAAAATGAGCTTCATAGATTTGAGCAACAGGATGCCATCACTGCTGTTTGGTTCTGAAATCTTCCCAGTTTCCTTTCATGTGAAACCAACCTCTAGTTGCATGATGGAAGCCTCGAGGACTTTTCCTGAGCACTGCGCTCCATCGAGGCTTGCCTTAGGAGAGGCCTCCCAGTGCCTGCCTCAACCTCCCAAGTGGACCTTTTCTTTCTTTTTGTCCCATGCTTGCCCTGGTATGGCTACATTCAGGGAAGACACCAGCCTCCATAGTCAGGCACACACTCAGGCTACTCCACAGACTCCAGCTCCTCTCCCAGACTATGGAGGCACTGCCATGGTCCAGACCAGAGCAGACTGCTCTGTCTTTGGCCTTCACACTCTTCTTGCACTTTGTTCTCCTGGATGCTACCGAATCTGGACAAAACAACGGAGCTTCTCAAATCACATGCCTACCATGCAGAGGCTCTTCATGACACAGTTTACACAGGGATTGAAAGGGCTAAGGTCTCCAGCCTCCATAGCAAATAAGGTCTTCTATTCTCTGCCCTACTCGGTGGGCAGAGTGTTGTCCATTTGGAGCCAGCATGGGTCCTCTTCCTGCTCCTTCGAAATCTCTGCTCTTCATCATAGCAAGCGACAGCCGAGTCTGAGCACCACAAACAGGTAAACTCTGTTCCTGTTCTTTGCTTATATCCCATATTTGCTTCCTACCACTGGGGAAGTGTTGGAAATGCAGTGCTGCTTGGAGGCCTCTTTGTGTCTGCATTTGCTGTGCACGTCGGGAAATCTCTGCTAAGGAAATAATGCAGTCATTTTTTTTTTTTCTTGGTCAGTCGTGGGGCTTGAACTCTGGGCCTGGGTGCTGTCCCTCAGCTCCTCAGCTCAAGGCTAGTGCTCTATCACTTGAGCCACAGCACCACTTCCAGTTTTCTGGTGGTTTATTGGAGATAAGAGTCTCGTGGACTTTCCAGCCTGGGCTGACTTTGAACTTGAACCATGATCCTCAGGTCTCAACCTCCTAAGTAGCTAGGATTACAGGTGTGAGCCACCAGTGATTTTTCTGCCAAATCTATAGTTGTGTTTTGGATCATTATTCTTCCAAGCCATCTCTGTGTAGCATTTGAACTTACTATGCAACCCAGGGTAGCCTCAAAATCATGGTTCTCTTGCTTTAGTCTTTCAGTTGTTGAGCGTATAGACAATTCATAGTGGCAATGACTTACATATTTTTAAATATCTTACAGCAACACTTAGTATTTGGTGTGCAAAAAATAGAAAATACTTTTTTAGTGAGTGAATGAATTAATGTCAGCATCACCACACCTAGTTTATGAGCTTCTACATTTTTTTTTTTCTGTAAAATGAAGGCTTCAAAACTTGGCATTTACAGCCTGGCACTGGTGGCCTATGCCTATAATCGTAGCTGCTCAGTAGGCATGAGATCCGAGGATCATAGTTTGATGCCAACCCAAACAGGACAGTTATCTCCAATAAACCACCAGGAAACTGGAAATGGAGTTGTGGCTCAAAGCGGTAGTATCCTTGTGCAGAAAAGCTCAGGGACAGTGCCCAGGCCCTGAGTTCAAGCCCTACAACTGACACATACACACTCACAAGTAGGCATTTACATACTCCAGTTTTAGGATTTATAGGCTTCATGCCCCCCACCCTCCACCCCATTTTGGTGCTGGTCCTAGAGCTTGAACTCAGGGCCTGGGTACTGTCCCTGAACTATTTTTGTTGTTGTTGTTGTTTGTTTGGTGGGGCCTGAACTCTAGGCCTGGGTGCTGTCCCTCAGCTCTTCAGCTCAAGGTTAGCACGCTGCCACTTGAGCCACAATGCCACTTCTGGCTTTTTCTGCTTATGTGGTGCTGAGGAATCAAACCCAGGGCTTCATGCATACAAGGCAAGCACTCTACCCTCTACCACTGAGCCACCTTCCCAGCCCCTGTCCCTGAACTATTTTGCTCAAGGCTAGCATTCTACCACTTGAACCACAGCCCTACTTCACACTTTTTCTGAGTAGTTTATTGGAGATAAGCATCACAGATTTTCCTACAGGGCTGGCTTTGAACCAAGATCCTCAGACTCAGCCTCCTGAGTAAGGATTACGAGTGTGAGCCACCAGCGCCCAGTGATTTATAGGCCTTAAAATGAACTGTGTAGGAGTTCCTGTGTTTTGATTACTAAGTGAATAATTGGAAATAATCTCATTAATATCCTTGTACAATCTAATAGAAAAGGTCTAGGGAGCAGCATCTGTGTGGGCATAGATCCAGGAGGATCTATGTTTGAAGAGAGCATGTTCAAAAAGTTAGTGAGAGCAGAGCACCGGCAGCTCACGCCTGTAATCCTAGCTACTCAGGAGGCTGAGATCTGAGGATCATGGTTCAAAGCCAGCCCAGGCAGAAAAGTTCATGACACACTTGTCTCCAATTAACCACCAGAAAACCAGAAGTGGTGCTGTGGCTCAAGTGGTAGAGTGCTAGCCTTGAACTGAAGAGCTCAGGGACAGTACCCAGGCCCAGAGTTCAAGCCCCACCACTGACAAAAAAAAAAGTTAGTGAGATTCTCATCTCCACCAATTTCTGTGTAGTGGTGCATGCCTGTGATCTCAGAAATGTAATAGGTATGGGTAGACAGATTGTAGTTGAGGTGGTCTGGTCCTATCTGAAAAATATAGGTGTTTAGAAATGGGTCCACTGGTATAACAACTGCCAAACAAGCCAAAGCCCCAAGTTGAAACAAACAAAAAAAGCCATAGAGGGCTGGGAAGGTGGCTCAGTGGTAGAGCGCTT